TCAAAAGTCTAACTTTTGAATAAGCCAATAATCATCTTCCATACGTAGTTTGGCCCGTATAACAACGGCAACTAAAACAAACCATTAGCTGCACAATAATTTTTGAGATCAATTTTTATTTCATTTTTTATAATATTGGCGATGAAAGGCCCACAGAATTTTGGTGGAACGATGGGTTTTTTAGATAGAAAAAACGCTCCAGTTAAATTTTTTTCTAAATTAATTTCGGGGGTTTCCACATAGAGGTTGCCAATTGCTATTCCCAGAACTCAAGGCTGAGTGTAGAGCCGATTACATGTGTATGCGTGTATGTATGTATGTATTGTGTGTGATACTCGATTTCTTCAACCATACAGGAAAACCGACAACTACTCCAATCGTTCATCCGAGCCCACTTCACTCGGTCCACCTCATTGCCTCCGAGTGGGCCCGTGTCTCAGGGGAGCCAAATACGGGGCAAAATCTCACCCGGTCAAGATGGTCTACTGACCACCGGTTACGGTCCCCAATCCACAAAACCATTCACTCCGAGCAAACGATCCAATCGAGGCCGATGGTTTGGAGGTGTTCGAAATCCCGGCAAAACCGAAACGGATCCACAAGCCACGGAACGTCTCAAACTGAATGGACCACGAGGCAATAACGGTCACGCAGGAGCACAAGGTGAGGCTTAGCGAATTGTATTCTATTGTATTGTATTGTGTATTGTGTATAACAATTGCAGGCAATGGAGCTCACAGTTCAGTTAATATAAATCATGCCCGCCAAGCGTCACAAAGTAAATAATGAACGGGGAGAAAATTTTGACAGACATGGGGACCTTTTTCATAATCCAAGGTTGAGACGAAGTTCACTTATTACCTTCTCTCTCTGTTTGTGAGTAAACGAGAAAGGAAGGGTATAGGTGAGTTTCGATAAGGGTTTATTCGAGATGAAACTTGGTGGAATCGGAGGCTTGTGGAGGGACGGTAACGACAACGTATCGGTTTTGCGTGCAATAGGTGGTCGGGATCTGTGAGAATCCTCTTCGAGACTTTCACACAGAGGTTATGTGATACTCTGAAAGCTTTACAGCTAACTCATTCATAGGAATAGAAAAGATGCGGCTAATAATAGTTAGTTTTGTAAGCCGGGAAAAATAACTGGGGAACAATAAAGAAAGATAGGGAAAATACACTGATAAACAAAGGTAGAAATAACTGACTGGGATGCATGAAACTGCCTGAGATTTCGAATTTGAAATGATAGGCGATGCAGTTATGGATGTAAGTTGACTAATGGAGATTGCTATCTGTGGTTACACCAAGATATTTGACAGAGTTCACCCTGGATAAAGGATTGTTATTAGTCACTGTGGTGTCTGTCGGATATGGAGAGCGCGCAAAACTATATAAACACTCATTTACGGTAGTTTGGGGTGAGGAGGTGAATGAGTAAATTTCAAGATTATCGGTGAAATAAGTTAGATCAGAGTAAGAAGAAATGCGCTGGCACAACACGACGTCATCTGCATATGTTGAAATATGTGCAGGAGAAATATAAGACATACCAAACACATAAGTGGAAAATAAGTATGGGGATAGCACAGCTCCTTGAAGAACTCTGGAGTTGTTGACTACGGGTTTAAATGAAGCCTTCCCCAATCTAGTGGTTTGTACTCTATCGGTAAAATAGTTGGATAGCCAAGCTCAAAATTGCTTGGGGTATTCAAACAATTCCAGTTTTAATAACAACTAAGATCGAGGAATGGAATCAAATGCTGATGATTAGGCCAGAACAACACACCGAACAGATTTAACAAAGTTTCCGGACAGTTTAACACACTGTCGGTACCGTTTTGATATGCCATCTTTCTCCAATCACTCTATTAAAGTTCTCACCTAGAAATCTTCTATGCTCGAATTTGAAAATACAATATTTGTTTGGATTATTCATAATTCATGCCGAGAAATTTCTCCGTGTGTTTTTGAAAGTAAAAATTCAGAGGTTAGATGGAATGGGCGATGGTGTGTGCTCACATCAAGTTATCAGTTCTGTCCAATCAGAGGTCGTAGTCCCGTCGCGTTGGTCACGTGAATTAATTCCGCGATGTCGGTGTTGTTGGTTTGTATGTGTGTGCTTCCATGAGACGAGGCCTAGGGGGGAGGGGAGATGTTCATGCCCGTGATCCCAAAGCGGAATGAACAACAGCCTGGTTTGAAAGTTGCGCAACGTAGTTCAGTAGTTAAATGTCTCAAACATATAACTTTAATTCCATATGGGTAATAGAGGATTTGGTTAAATTTCAAATGAGAATTCGTCGTGTATATAACAAATGAAGCCCATGCAGTCCCGGGTTCGATCCCCAGTCGGGTCGATGGATTCGCACTGCTGATGAGACCCGACCAGGTCGAAACAGCTGTCCATTGCTTTCGAGCTTTTCAGTTCACGCTTCATTTGCTATATACACGACGAATTCTCATTTGAAATATAACTTTAACCCTGACTAATTAGCGTATTTTGATGTTCTTGGTTCAGGTGAGAGGAAACCGCATAAGTGATATTGAATCCGTATTTAACTCACAGTTACTTGTGAGTGGTGTTGTGGGATAATTGTTATTGGTTGATTAGAACTGACCATTCTTCCAACTTCTCCTTCACACATAGTGGTAACACACACAACTTCCATGCAATGGGTTCGGGGTTCGAATCCTGGATGGGACGGTGTATATGCACTACTGATGAGCTCTTATAAAAGCGAAACTCGAGTCTGGTGCTTCCGAGTATGTGGCTGACTGGACGAGGTGAGGGATACGCGTGAAGATGATGTCTAAAGGATGTTCAATTCTAATCAGTTATTGGTACTGAATTCTCCACTTTGATTCGAGTCAGATTGTCAACGACCTGGACGTGAAAACAACGTGACTCCATCGACACACGTGATGTGTTTTCATGGTTGATGAGCGTCATAAACTCATCTGCATAACCGTCAAAGTGATCAACATCGACAGTTTATCCTTATCCGAAAAAAGACTTAAAAATGTAATCCATACAGCTATTAGTAGAACGAATAGTTCCGACGTATGGCACTTAGTATACAACATTCGAACAATAGCTTCAATCGACTGAACTGGATTTCAGTCAGCCAACACACGGGACAAATACAACTATGAACAGCGTAAGACTGATAATGGGATATGCACTTGCTCATTCACACACACACACACACACACAGAGCTAAATAATCCGATTGAGGTGCAAAAGTAATCCGATGTCAATCTCTAACACTCTCCAGAGATTGGTTTATGAATTATTGAAAACAGGTTGTGTTGCACAGGGTCTTGTCTGTGGAATTTGAAAGTTACTTCACACCCGCCCCTCCCCCAGTGAGCATCAAAAGCATTCGAATATTGATTGCATCGGCAAACATGAAACTCTGAGAGTATTTGAACGGCACAGATGAGAAGTCAACAATGGATTTGAGCACTGTCAATTAGTTTTGTACAATGGGAGTGTCGAATAAAACGTGGGAGCTCCGTCCGTTATGCCAATCGTCAGTAATATGCGGCTTGCCTAGGAATAAAAGGTTTCTGACCGCGATTACGTAACATCCATTTGAGTGAAGTGCTGAGGTGAAATCGATTGTCTATTTTTATGGACGATTCGATATCACAAACTTTGAGTTGCTTGAATTTTCCTGTACAATCAACTTTAGTGGACGGATTTATCGAAATATATATATATATATATATATATATATATATATATATATGCCCGGGTTTTGGAGTCCATCATTCAATTTTTGAGGCAAGTTAGGTAGTCTTGCAACCTTTTTCGAAATACGGTCCATGTTCAAGAACAAGTTTGCACATAGTAAAAGGTTATCAAACAAAGCAAAAGTGTGTGTGTGTTTGTGTGTGTGTGTGTGTAGGATTAGGTGGCTCAAATCTCTCACCGTTGTTCAGATGACAGCGCGACCGTCACTCCGTACATAGTCTACCGCACCAAGCTCTGATTCGGACACTTTCTACATTTAAGTGAGCTAAGGCTGCCTGTCAAAACCGCTATAGATCCTACAGCCCTTTGACCTTATGAATAATCCCCTCTTCAATCAGATGCATCAATCCGGTTTTGTGTTCACAAGTCCGGGTGCTCGACAGTGTAACATGCAGATCAGAACAGATCTTATCGAATGACTATCCATCTGTGACAACCGTTGTCAGTGCAACATATATCCCACGCATGGTGGGAGCATCGCATGAGTAGTGATGAGATCGGACAACATATGTTTGGGGTCAGATCATCTTCCACTGAACAGAACCATTTCACTGCATTGTCTTAGGTGGCTAGGGCACATTCCATGGGTGTATGAATAACGTCTGTCATGCAGTGCGCTATTTGCAGGGGGTCGGAGAGATTGTGCTCGGATTAAGCTTCCATCGGGGCGGGGCCCCAAAGAGTCAGGTTACCTTTGGTTGGAGACACGTGCGAAGTCAGTGGCCTGAATGAACTCCTTCCTGTGTGACATACCAAAAGCAAAACAATAAAGCCAAAATGGCGTACATAAACCATCAAAAAAATGGTTTTTGTCTCTAAAGTTGACTCTTCTTTATCCTTTTCTGTTTTTAAATTTGCTGTTCAACCCAGAGATGTATATCATAACCAGTGGTATATGATTTACCAGACAAATATATCCCTGGAAGCACACGATCGGTTTCGCGGTTCTTGCCGCTCGTCAGGTATGCGTATCCGGTAATCGTTTGTCAGTTCATTCATATACTTGTACCCAGGAAGTGTATTTTTGTCACACTAACCTTGTTTACAAATTTTGGATAGACAGATCTTTTAGAGTATTAATCTTTCAGTAGACTGGCTCTAAAAGAACTGTCTATACAAAAATCATTCGGTGCTGCAAACAAGGATTTTGTTATATATATATATATTTATATATATATATATATATATATACATAGTTGCAGTCTGTCTAAGTTCATTTATAGATAGTTAACGCAAATCAGCACATGTACTTCTTCTTAAGTACGTATGGCACGGACCGGTGACTGTAGTTTGAGACTCGAAGAAACTTGAATGAAGCCTTGTCTGAAGGGACCAACCGGGCAAATTCTATTGCACTTCCCGGCTTATCTAAGAACCGACTACATTAAATAAAGAACATGAGTATGGTGTGCATGTACGACCACACACAAGCTGTACGGCTCGTGTATCCCCTCGCATTTTTTATTCCGCAGATTTCAACGAAATAGGATTTTCAACATTAGGGTAACGTTACCGTCTTTTATCTAATCTCAGTAGAATGATATACGACTGGTTGTCCAATGTAACACCGCACGCTAAAACTCCCTTTTTCCTCTTTTAGCCTATTCGGAGACTGGCAACTCGGACCTGACATTCGAACCGGGTTGGTTGCATCGGTATCCGGCAACTTCGGCACTGCACAATGGACGAAACACACCGGTAGAGACCACCGGTACAACGGAACCCAGAACCCAGATCCCGTCTGTCGGTCTGCCTCGCTCTGTGATGCCAGATATTCGTCCGTTGAATTCGAATGCCGGACAACCGGCCTCCTTGCACAATCCGGAACACGCAAAAGACAGTTCGGGGGATGGAAGATCGGCCTATTTTTAAATCGCGAATCCCGAGATGAATTGGACCGTTTCATTTTTTGTTGTTCTTTTCATTTTGTCCTCGTTCTTTCTGTTGCACAATCCCGCCTGGGGATTTATCAGAACTTGACTTCCTTACCGTCAAAACGAGGTTATCACTCAGCTCATACACACACGCACACACACACACACACACACACACACATGAGAACGCATTTTATC